ACGGACAGTGTTGAGCAGCGATTCTATTTCAGATGATGTTTTTCCATACAGCTTCAGATCATCCATATAAAGGAGGTGGGATAGTCTGGCAGATGTTTTTGATGTTTGATAGCCATGTCCTGAGTTATTCAGTATTGTTGACAGAGGAAACAGTGCAATAACAAATAGTAATGGTGATAATGAATCTCCTTGAAATATTCCTCTCTTGATATTAACCTCTCCCAGCCTCTCACCATTGATCTGCAACTGTGTCTTCCATTGTGCCATCGATCTTTGCACAAATTTTCTGATGTTTCTACTGACTCCTGTTATTTCTAGGCACTTTATTATCCAATCATGTGGCAGAGAGTCAAATGCCTTTTTGTAGTCAATCCATGCACATTCAGGTTGGTCTTCCTTCTCTTGCAGTTTTCCAAGATCATTTTGTCTATTAGGAGTTGATCTTTTGTTCCTCTGCTGTTGGGGCGGTTTCCTTTCTGCTCAGGTGGAAAGAGATTGTTTTCAACTAGATGCTGTTGCACTGCATCAGCTACTACACCAGTTAGTAATTTGAAAGTTGTTGGTAAGCAGGTAATTGGCCTGTAGTTACCTGGTGTTGCCCCTTTTGCTGGATTTTTCATTATTAGGTAGGTTTTCCCAGTTGTTAGCCACTTTTCAATTTCTCCTCCTTGTAGTATATTGTTGAACTGCTTGGCAATGAGTGGGTGTATAACAGTTAGATGTTTCAACCAAAACCCATGCAGTTCATCTTCACCTGGTGCTGACCAATTTTTGATTTTCTTTGCTCTTTTTTCTACCATTTTTGTTGTTATTACTAGTTCTTTCATTTCAACTTCTGTTTTATTTGCATCCACCTCTTTTAACCAAGCCGCATCCTTGTTGTATTTCTTTGGGTTATCCCATATCTGCTTCCAGAACTGCACTGTTTCTTCCTTGTCAGGTACTGACTGATTCCTTGCAGTTTCTCCATTGATGGATTGGTAGAAACGTTTCTGATTGGATTGAAATTGGAGGTTCTGCCTATAGTTTGCAATTCGAGCTTCATATCTACTGATTTTCCTGGCTATAGCTGTTATTTGTTGCTTTATTATTTCCAGTGCTTCCTTGATCTTCCTTGTTTCTAAGTGGTATTTCTTGATTAGGTATTCTTTGGTCTTCTTGTTCTTCAGCTTCTTTTCTTTCATCTGTTCTAGCTTGCTTGCATGTGATCTTAACTTGCTGATCTTATTTTCTAGTCTAACCTTCCATTTTTCTGGTGCACTGTTTGTTTGTTTTTCTTCTTTGTTGATTTTGCATCCCAGGTATTCTGTTATAACTGCAGCTGTGCTGTACATTAGTTGGTTTGTTTCTTGCAGTGAATTGGTGCTTATACTTGATATTGCAATATTTGCATCTTTTAATGCTTGTGCTAGTTGTTTCTTTGGAACAAGCTTCAATGCAGGTAGCCTTATTCTGTTGTTTTTGTGCTGTTCTAGATGCTCAGTTATTCTTTGTTTCAATTCTTTTATTTCTTTAGTTAGAGGGTTTTGTTCTTCCTGAGGAAGAGGTGCCTGGTTTCCAAATGAGAACAGTTGTATATCTCTGCTGGATTCCTTCACTGCCAACTCCCCCTGGTTTGCCTCTACATTCTGAATTACTTCTGGTAAGGCTTTGATTTCTTTGCCCTGGGTAAACCTTTGCAGTTCGTCCAATTCTGTTTCTGTGAATACTTTATTTCGTGTTATAAATCGGCGTTGATCTGCTAGTCTCTGTTCTGTTATTTCTGATTCTGGATGTTGTTCTTTCCAGAACTGGTGCATTCGTTTTAGATATCCTCTTCTTGTTGGACTTGATCTGTAGTAACAGATCATTATTTCTTTGTTTTCCATCACTGTGTATCTGCGACGGGTAAACACCTTTTCTTCCAGTAGTTCTGCAGCTGCTGGCCCTGGTTGCTCAGCCAACAGTCCTGAGTCCTGTAACCCATTTTTCACCAGATATCCAGGAACTCCAATATCTAGCGCGGACCTTGTTAACCCGGGCGACGTCCGAGCCGGTATGGCATTCTGAAATTTACGTCTCACCATATTTTTTATGGGAGAGACACTCTTTGTCTGACTCCTCTGATGAGACCTGTCCAGTATGGTTGAACCTCTGGCATAGCTCTCATCTTCCTCAGAGTACACAAGCCCCACAACCACGTCAAGGTAGTGCCTCACTATTATTATTATTATTATATTATTATAATAATATAATAATATAATATAATAATATAATATATTATTATATTATTATTGATCATCGCACAGTCAGCCAGATGTTCAGACTGGATTTGGCATTTTGTCTACCTATCGAGTCCTTACCCAGGACCTGGGATAGGCAGATGTGGATGTTTGATGGTATTACAGATATCGTCGCAGGATGGAAGCAGTTCCTAATAAGGCCGCCTTTTGCAATTGACTAATAGCGAATTTGTCAATGCCAATGGTGTTCAAGTGGTGCTCCAGTTGTTTTGGGATTGCACCCAAGGAGCCTATGACTATTGGTACTACCCTTGCTTGCTTTTGCCACAGTCTTTCTATTTCTATTTGTAGGTCTTTGTATTTTGTTATCTTCTCCAGTTCTTTCTCTTCTATATTATTATTATTATTATTATTATTATTATTATTATTATTATTATTATTATTATTATTATTCTATCTATCTATCTATCTATCTATCTATCTATCTATCTCCATTGTGTATGGGTGTATGGAACTTCTAACTCCAGGACTTTAACATATTGAGTTACAGACCCAGTGTACAATCTGAGGGTTCTCCAGAACTCATAACTCTTGCTCAGTAAGAAGGTGGCAGTCATGGAACAGAGAGCCTTTGCACAACTTGGTGTTGTGCACCAGTTTTGCCTTTTCCTGGATCAGTAGTCCCTGTACTCAGTTATTTAAGCTTTGGTAACCTCACACTTGGACTACCACTTCAGTTGGTGCAGAACACAGCTTTATGGGCAGTTCTTGGGTGCCCTAGAATGGCCCATATTACATCACTGTTCTGAAAGCTGCACTGACTGCCAGTTTGCTTTTGGGTCCAATTCAAGATGTTAGTTATCACTTTTAAAGTCCTTCATAATATGGATCCAGCCTACCTAATGAACTGGCTCACCCCAATGAGATTAGCCCACCCCACTGGCACCAGCAGAAGGGACATGCTGCAGACCCCATTTGCCAAGGAATTTCAGATGATGTGGTCAAGAAGAAGAGACTTTTCTACATAGGTCACACACCATTTGGAACATCATGACCCCCCAAGGTGAGATCTACCATTTTGAAAAGACATTGAAGACATGGCTATGCCAACTAGCCTAGGGCACCAATGGAATTGTAGGACTTTGGAGGTGGCTAATGTAGATAACACTCCACCTTCTCCCTGTACATACTTTTCTCCCTTGGTTAGTTTCATTTTAATTGTTTTTTTAAATTTAAAATTGCTATTTGTTTTATTGTTTTATGCTGCATTTTATTTTTATTTTTTTTTAATTTTTACTGAAGCATTTTTTATTTATGTAAACAGGAATATTAACAGTAACATCAACAATTAATGATAACATTTCTTAAGTATTAACAGCAATTTTAAAATATAGAAAAGAACTACTGTTGGATGCTGGGTTGCCTTTCTACAAATGCAAAAAAATAATAATTACAGTATTTGAATAATAGAACAGGGACATCTCACTGACTTCTTCCAGATTTTCTTTATGCACTGTAATTTCCTATACTGCTCTCTAAAGTACATTTTTAGGGGGCATAAGAGGCCACAAGAAGAAACCTGAATCAGTGTAAGGTTTCCCTCTTTCCATCTATATATTGTCAAGGTTCCATCAGAAACCAGAGATTTCAAGGTCTCTACCTTCAACCCATATATTTGGCTAAAACCAACAAATAGAATTTTTCAAGTGTTTATTCATTTATTTTAGGTCACACACTAATTCAGATTTTGGCATATTGATTATCAGATTTTGATATTTTTATTTAATTAGAAACTAAAATTCTAATATTTCTGAAAACCCAAACTGCAGCTAAAGAAGCCTCTTAATGATTTAATAGTCTAGATCATTTTAAATGCATTTTAAATGAATATCTGTAAGCTACCTAGAATTGCCTCTGGTCAGATGGGCAGTATGCAAATTTAATAAATAAAATTAAATAAACATTTGATAAATAAAGAAGGAGGAATTTGCAAACCAAATACTGATGTTTCTTTATAAGCAACTCCCCTTTTTTTCTTTATTTTCCTTCTTATTTTTTATCTTTTATAAACAATAAATAATAGCTGAGTAGAGATTGACATATTATGTATTAATAGTAACCCTTCAGTTCAAGATAGAAACATTTGTTACATTGCAAAATACTTTAATCCAGTTTGCTATGGTCTATCAATACCACATTTAGCTTTAAATATACAATTTAAACAATCTTTTGCTCTCTAAGATTTCAGAAATCATAGTTAATATTAACCAGAATATTTTCCTTATTTGTAAAACTTTAAGTTATCTAAATAACTTTATAAAACCCTAATGAGACCACACCTGGAATACTGCAACCAATTTTGGTCACTATACTACAAAAAAAATAAATATATGTTGAAATCTTGGAAAAAGTACAGAGAAGAGCAACTAAGATGATCAAAGGCCTAGAGACTAAAACATATGAAGAACGGCTGCAGGACTTGGGTTTGGCTAGTGAGTCTAAAGAAAAGAACAAATAGGGGTGACAAATAGCAGTATTCCAGTATTTGCCTCAAAGAAGGGGTAAAATTGTTCTCTAAAGCACCAAAGGGCAAGACAAGAAACAATGGTTGGAAACTGATCAAAGAGAGAAGCAACCTGGAATTAAGGAGAAACTTCCTAACAGTGAGGACAATTAATCAATGGGACAGCTTACCTTCAGAAATAATGGGCACTCCATCACTGAAGGTTTTTAAGAAGATACTGGATAGTCACTTGTCTGAGATGGTATAGGTTCTCCTGCATGAGCAGAGACTGGATTAGAAGACCTCCAGGGTTCCTTCCAGTTCTATTCTATTCTATTCTATTCTATTCTATTCTATTCTATTCTATTCTATTCTATTCTATTCTATTCATCATTTATAGTTACAAGTGTCTTAATCCCGCTCTACATGTTAAATATAATCTAGTATTTACATCCTTACATTATTCTATTACATCTTATAACAAAATAATATCTTTAAGATGTGAAAAAAGTTTCACTCATCAATTTCAAACAAAAGAAAAAAAAGAGAAAAAATGCTTTATGAAACAATCTCAGCAGGCAGAATGTAATATCATCCAAGGCTTATGAATAAGAATGACATCAATTAAATTAACAAACACAGGACACTTGTGATCATGAATAAGATGAATTATATGAGAAAAGCTAAGAAGCAATTCTTCAACAACATCTTCTTCAAGGACTTCTTCAAGTTCTTGCTATTCTTCTTCATTTTGTTATTGTCCAATAAAGTTCAAATTAGTAGTCTTGATAACAATTCTACATTTGGCACCTCTTTAGTAGGTGTTCCATTCCCATGCCTGTGTCCTTGGATCATTCAATCATTGTTTCTGGTTGGCAGTCATTCCCCTTCCTTGTATCCTCCTCCAGCCCGACATTTATGGCAGGCTGCTATCAAAATGAAGCAGAGCTGAAGTGGTGTGATGGAGAGATTTCACATACTACTTTATACATCACTTCCATATGTGGCTCTTAATGTCTGTACTTACTTGTCCTCATAATTCAGAAAGCCTGTTTCTGGAAGAGAAAACTTCCTGTATATTGAACAAGAGGTTGCAGTCATATGGGTTTGCTATATGTTTACTTTCAGGTACTGAATTGTCTCCCTTTCATGGGAATCTTCATGAAGAGCAAGAGAGACATGCAATATTATCTGTCATGGTTTCATAGAGTGAATGTAAGTTACATATCTGTAACACTATATATCAAGTTACTGACTGGTATGTCATTTGATGTGGGGATATAAGGGAATAATACAGAATACCCAAAATTGGAAAGAAAGAAAGAAAGAAAGAAAGAAAGAAAGAAAGAAAGAAAGAAAGAAAGAAAGAAAGAAAGAAAGAAAGAAAGAAAGAAAGAAATCCCTGTATTCTGAAAGAAACCAATATGCCTTTATTCAAAGAGTCTGGTATAAATATAAGTTTTCACTTCTTTTTTAGTTGCTCCTTCTTATTCAAATCAGGTCTCAGAATAATGATATAGCATTTGGGGAAAAAGATGCAACCCAGTAATCCAGCTGCTGAAGCCAAAATGGAGAAGATCTCTACAGCCACCATATATTTCCTCTTTGTACTCAAATAAGTGGGAACAAATGACACCCAGACACTGCAAAAGACCAACATGCTGAAGGTGATAAATTTGGCTTCATTGAAGCTGCCAGGTAGATTCCTAGCTAGGAAGGCCACTGTGAAGGTGACAGCAGTCAAGAACCCCATGAAGCCAAGCACCATATAAAACATTTTGGTTGAACCTTCATTACATTCCAAGACAATTTCTTCAACTATGGAATACATGTCTGAATCTGGAAATGGGGGAGAAATTGCCAACCACACTGCACAAATGGTAAATTGAGCCATAAAGACAGATAGGACAATAGTGTTAGCCATCCTTCTCCCCACCCATTTCCTCATTTTAGAGCCTGGCTTGGTGGTCATGAATGTAAGAACTACTATGGTTGTTTTACCCAAAATACAAGAAACAGCTATAGAAAAAATGATGCCGAAAGTAGTTTGTTGCATGAGACATTTCACTTGGTCAGGTTGCCCAATGAAGAGCAGAGTGCAAAGGAAGGAGAGCAGGAGAGCAATGAGAAGTATGTAGGTGAGGTTCCTGTTGTTGGCTTTGACAATAGGAGTGTCCTGGTGCTTAATGAAGATTCCCAGCACCTCAGCTGAGATGACAGAAAAGGAAACTGCAATTATTACCAAAGAAATACCCAAGGACTCTTGGAAAGTTAAATAAGTTATAGTTTTTTGAAGACAATAATCTTGACCCTTGTTTGGATATTGATCCTCTTGACATGGGAAACAATCATCTAAGTCTGGAAGAAAAAAAATAAAACAAAACTGTACACAGAACCACCATTGTTTTAAGTATGAAGTATTAATAAGTATTAATAAGAAATTGTGTCTACCAAGATGTGTGCACACACACACACACACACACACACACACACACACACACTTGATTATAAAAAAGTAGAACTGCAGTATAGTAGTCAAATTGCCAAGGTGTAATTAATCAGACTGTCCGTCTGAAAAATTCTTTGTATATACTCCCTTGACTCGGCTGACAAAGAGGGGAGGAGAGCCTGTGCCTGGTGGTTAATACAACTGCCTAGCATGTAGACTGCCCAGGGTTGAATCCCATAAATGGTGTGGCTAGCTGATGAGGACTAATGAGTCCAAAATAGCTATACTAGTCTCCCACTTAAATCTTTAACTCTTGTCAGCAAAAGAAATCTGAATTTGTAATGTATCGCAGTAGCGACTTGAGCCTGCTTAATGCCCCTAGTTGGGGGGCTGCAAGGCAAAAGAGAAATAAAAAGTAGAACCGCAGTATAGCAGTAAAAATGCTTTCAACTCTCCAAGTAGGCCATCTCATGATCTGAAATTATAGAAAAGGGGTTTCATGGTTCAAATTTGATGAAAAGCATTCTGAACTGTATATCAACAAGCCCTGCTTACCTGTCAGACTTTTTTTATAATTCTTACAGCAATAAGAAACTAAATATGAATAATCTATTTATTCTCAAGGAAGTTTACGCTATTTAGAATGAACTTATTGGCTGTAGCATTAAATATCCCACTGAACTATGAACAAGTTCCAGTTTTTCATTGCTAAACTATATAACCTGAAGAAATGTTAAGCTTTTCAGCCACAATAATACAGTCCCATTTGTATTTATTAAAACACTGATATATTCAATGTATTCCTTTGCTTACCCATTTGGTCAGCTATCTTCCCTTCTGGACACCGTCTATAGTCATAGCAGCAAGATAATTTCCCTTCTACTTTGACCTTGCTGTAGCCAAAAGGACATTTCTCATTACAGATGGAAAGAGGCAATGTCTGTTCATAAATAAAATTAGACTTCTTTCATATGAAGAATTTATGTTTTGGGAGTGTTCATTTCATCATCTATACATCCACAAAAGATTCACATCATCATCAAACCTCAGTGTCCCATTTCTCCATTTTTTTTTGTTTTAAATTCACAACAAAATCCCTTAACTCAGTTTTTCTCAAACCTCAACGACTGCTTATTGAACTTGAGAACTGAAGTCCACACCTCTTCAACAACCATTAACTGTTCATATTTTCTCTTGTGTTCAATTGCATCTGATTGTTGGAGAATGCCTGGAATAGTTCTTTCAGTTTTGTTGCAAGATTTTTTCATAGGTGATTTGCCATTTAGGTTTGGGCCTAAGGCAGAACTAGAAGTCTCCATGTTTCTAGCTTGATGCCTTAACCTCTACAACAACCTGACTCATTAACTGTTCCTTATCTCACACCTATTACATTAACAGAATAACAGAGGCCTTTTAGTCCAACGCTCTGCTCAGGAAGGAAACCCTATACAATTTCAGACATATGGTTTCCCAATCTCTTCTTAAAAACCTCCAGTGTTGGAGCATTTACAACTTCTGGAGGCAAGTTGTTCCACTGATTAATTGTTCTAACTGTAAGGAAATTTCTTCTCATTTCTAGGTTGCTTCTCTCCTTGATTAGTTTCCATCCATTGTTTCTTGTCTTGCCCTCAGTATTTCGGAAAATAGCTTGACTCCCTCTTTGTTGTGGCAACCCCCGAGATACTGGAACACTGCTCCCCTGAGATATTGAAACATGGCTATCGTGTCATCCCTAGTCGTTCTTTTCATTAAACTAGACATACCCAATTTCAGCAATTGTTCTTTATATGTTTTAGCTTCCAGTCCTCTAATCATTTTTGTTGTTCTTTCCTGTATTATACATTCTGCGAATTTATTAAGTTGAATTGTCTAAGAAGCTATTTATAAATCTATTTTCCTCTTGGAAATGCGTTGTCATTCCAAAAAACAGTTTTCTGTTTTCCTTGTTGATTGGCATATATTTTACTTAAAAAAAAAATCTGCCTTCCCTTCAACAACTTTTTATTTATTTCATTTTATTGATGAAATTTTATGGCTCCCATCTCGCTATTGACTGACTCTGGGTGACATTTATGCTTAGTATGCAAACATATCACTTCGCTTGGAGTAGCACAACTAGTTAGTTGATTAAACAGATAGATAGCATCTCTAGTAGAAAGTCTTTGTTTTAACAAAGAATCTCTGCTCCCTATTTTGTCACTTTCAGGAGTGGCATATACAAATTTAAATCTAAAGACATGAAATCACAAAACTCTCTGTATGCCTTTTTAATGTTTTCATTTTGTTGCAATAAATGTTTTATTTCCATTAAGCTACAGTACCGTATTTTCTGGCGTATAAGACAACTTTCTAAACCCTGAAAATCTTCTCAAAAGTTGGGGGTCATCTTATACACCGGAATATACGGGTAGCTGTTCTCTGAATTTAAAACCAATCTGCCCCCTAGTGGCCATCCCTATTTTTTTTTTACAGAAATAAGCACTAACAGGACAAAGCATACATTTTTCTACATCGCCCATCACTTTATTCTTCTTCAGGAAAAGCAATTAAATAGTAGAAAACAGTAAGCTATATAAATTAAGGACATTACATCTACAAAAAAAAAGAAACATTTGATTTACTTCTTATACCTATAGCAACAGTCATGAATATATGCAAAAACTTTTTGATTCAGCAAATCACATTGATTAAGAAAGATACTGGTCAAAGGAAAAAGATCAAAGTGAAAATTAAGATTATGGGATCTACCAGAGAGAATATTTAAAAAAGAAACATTTGTTTGAATATGAATATTGAACATTGAAAAATACCAGCTGAGTTCAGGAAGCATTAGGGAAGCAGTGGTGGGCAACACTCGCTTTCTAGCAGCAAAGGAATGGAGCTCCTATTGTGCTCATCTATAAACAGAAATTCAATATTGTACTGTATTATTATTATTGATAATTGCACAGTCAGCCAGATGTTCAGACTGGATTTGATATTTTTATCTACCTATCAAGTCCTTACCAAGGACCTGGGATAGGCGGATATGGATGTTTGATGATTTTACAGATATCATTGTAGGATGGAAACTGTTCGTAGTAAGGGCACCTTTTGCAATTGACTGATGGCAAATTTGTCAATGCCAATGGTGTCCAAGTGATGCTCCAGTTGTTTTGGGATTGCACCCAAGGCACCTCTTATTATTGGTACTACCCTTGCTTGCTTTTGCCACAGTTCTTCTATTTCTATTTGTTGGTCTTTGTATTTTGTTATCTTCTCCAGTTCTTTCTCTTCTATTCTGCTGTCTCCAGGCACTACCACATCACTATCCAGATTTTTTTGTTTTTCTTATTGACAATTGTTAAGTCAGGGGAGTTACATGGCAGGTGCCTGTCTGTTTGAATTTTAAAGTCTCAGAGCAATTTAACTTTTTTTCCTTTTCTATGACTTTCTCTATTTTATAGTCCCACCAGTTCTTGCTTGCAGGCAAATGATATTTCTTGTGGATCTTCCAATGCATCATTGTTGCTATTTTGTCATGCCCCTATTTGTAGTCTGTCCATGTGATCTTCTTGCAGCAGCTTACCAGGTGGTCCACTGTTTCTTCAGCTTTTTTGCATAGGCAGCACTTACTGTCTGTTGCTGTCTTCTCAATTCTGACTTTGTATGCATTTGTCCTTAAGGCTTGGTCCTGTGCAGCCAGAATTAGTCACTCGGCCTCTTTCTCCAACTTTTCTGCTCTTAGTCATTGCCAGGTCTTGTTATTATCTGCTTTCCCAGCTATTTTTTTTAAGGTACTGGCCATGTAATATTTTGTCTTCCCATGCCTCCATTCTGTTCTTCATTTGGTCTTTCTTGTAAACTGGTTTAGTCTTTCCAATAGGCAGTAAATCTTTCTGATATACTAACTTCAGTGCATCTTTCATCATTGTCCTTCAGATATTTTTTCAAAAGCCATTTTTCTTCTGCAAACATTTGTTGTACTTGTAACTTTCCATGCCTATCTATTTGCCTTGGTAGATAAAGTCTGTCAATGTCACTGTGTGGATGAAGAGCATGATTTATTGTCATTATTTTTCTGTCTTCCTATCCATTGCTTTTAGTTCTGCTTGAGTCCAGTCCACTATTCCAGCTGTGTATCTAATGACTGGAATTGTTCAGGTGTTGATTGTTCTAAAGTTTTTTTTTTTCAAGAGGCAATTGGACTTCCTTTGTTTTTTCTTTGAAGATGTTTTGCTTTTCATCCAAAAACCTTCTTTACTTCTTCAAGGAAAAACAAAGAAACTCCAATTGCCTCTTGAAAAAAGCTCCTTTGGTACAATTATCTTCTTTATTACTGTAGCTTTTCCCATTTATTCTTATTGGAGCTCAAAATAATGATCTAATAATTCAAATAAAAGATGCAGGAAAGATCTCTAGGTTCTTAAGTGAACTTGGAAAAGATAATCACAGCAATCGCTTTGTAAATCACCTTTTTTGTGTGCCTCTACATCGCTACCTATCTACACATCCTGAAAATTACAAAAGAGTGGTTATGAAAGAGAAATAATTCTGTACGTTAAATGAGAGGTTGCAGTCATATGGGTTCTCTTATGTTTATTTTCCCAGTATTGTCTAACTTCCTGAGTTGTTTCATTTTCAAGGGAGCCTTTATGTAGAGCACATGCTACATTATCTATCATGGTTTCATAATTGAATGTAAGTTGTGTGTGTGTGTGTGTGTGTGTGTGTGTGTGTCCCTATATATCAAGGTACTGCCTTTTATGTCTCATTGATGTGTTGATATGAGGAAATAGCACAGAACCCCAAAGTACACACACAAAAAAAAACATTTATCTTCTGAAGGTAATCAATTTGTCTTTATTCAAGGGATCTGGTTTAAACATCAGTTTCATTTTTTTTTTTAGTTGCTCCTTCTTATTCAAATCAGGTCTCAGAATAATTATGTAACACTTGGGGGGAAATATGCAGCCCAGTAATCCAGCTGCTGAAGCCAAAATGAAGAAGATCTCAACAGCAACCACAACCTTTGTACTCAGATAGGTGGGAACAGATAGCCTTTCTTCAAGGTCCTTGAATTCGCATGGGCTTACAGCCTGGTGAAGAGCAGCTATGAAATCGGCAGCAGGCTTGCCAGGACACTGGTCTCACTGTTCAAAAGTGTGTCGCCAAGTGATGACCGAAAGTATCGGCTCAAAATGTTCCTTAGCATTTTTTTTTCAGTTTTGCATATGCAATGGATTCAAGCAGTGCTGGAACAACCAGGTTCTCTGCAATGTCGAAAGTTGCTTGGCCGCAGACACACAGCAACATAACAACCTTCAATCCGTCTTCCCCCACTTGGTTGACTCGAAGATAATTTTCAACCCTTGCAATGTAGGAGTAGTTGCTCTGGATGAGCAACTTCGAATTCTGAGAGTCGATTTATCTTTGCCATGGTAAGTGGCCTTTTCAATACCTCCTACTGTGCAGGCTTCTGAAGGGGTTCCAGGGGTGTCAAAACAGAAACTAGCAAGGATTGTTCCACCTCTATTTATACATTCAGATTTGGGTGGCATCAGCCAATGAAAGCACGGTATTCTCCTGCTCAAATGCATACTAATTGGTCTTGTAGACAGCAAGTCTGGCTGGCAAGCCACGTAGTCTGCTAACCATTCCTGCACAGATCTCAATAATTTGTTTCATAAATTCAACTCAAATTCAGTCTTCTTCCAATTTTTCTACTCAGTTCCCACAAGAACATATCAGCTGAGGCTTTCATGTCTCAAGGAGGATTAGAGTTGAGGGTTGCCCAGTATAAAGCCCACCCTCTTACCCACAGCAACAAAGTGGGTTTCAACCATTGAAATTTCAGGCAGAGGATATTCATTTTCTTTATATTTGGGGAAAAAAGTGGTTGTGAAGAATATTGGAAGGGTTTGTTGTTGGTTTTTTTGGTTATGAAGCATATGGGCTTCAAAATGAATCATTTTGAGAAAAATATACCTTATAATTTTCAAAATCAATGGTTAGATAAAATTCTCTCTTTGATTAGCTGTTCTCATTTATTCTGAATAGAACTCGGAATAATTATCTGATGTTTCAAAAAAAAGATGCAGAAAAAATCTCTAGATTCTGAAATGAATTTGGGAGAGATTATCAGTCGCTGCTTAGCAGAGCAGTCTCCAATCCCCAGGCCTGCTGGAAACCAGGGCATGGAAATGGGGGGGGTGAGTTTCATCTTCATATGTGAGGGATCTAGGTCATGAGCATGAAGCCATTCCTTTCTGCAATGGTCCATGGAAGACATTCAACCCAAAAACCAGCCCCAGGAGCTAAAAATGTTAGGGACTGCTAGGTTAGATGTGGCTATCTACGTCCTGGTAATTACAAAGAATGCTTATGCAGAAGAAAACTTCATGTACATTGAACAAGAGATTGAAATCACATAGATTCTCTGTGTGTTTACTTTCCAGGTACTCTCTAAATTCCTTGGTTCTCTTCCTTTCATAGTTAGCTTTATGGAGAGCAAGACAAAAATCTGTTTGTTTGTTTTTTTGTTTACTTACTTACTTACTTACTTACTTACTTACTTACTTACTTACTTACATATTTCTTAATCACCTGTCTCCTTCAGACAGCAGACCTGAGTGGTGTATAAAATAATCAATAAAATCAACATTAAAATCAGAATAATTTAAGATTAAAAATAAAAAAATGCTGCATTACAGTATATGTCATGGTTTCATAGGATGAGTGCAATATATATCTACATCTCTATATATCAGGTTACTGCCCTAAATTGCAAAAATAAAAACAAAACTGGCTGAAAGTAACCAATTTAGTTCATTTAAGGGATCTAGTATTAATATCAGTTTCATTTCTTTATTAGTTGCTCCTTCTTATTCAAATCAGGCCTCTGAATAATGATATAGCACTTGGGGGAAAAGATACAGCCCAGTAATCCAGCTGCAGAAGCCAAAATGGAGAAAATCTCTACAGCAACCACATATCTCCCCTTTGTACTCAAATAAGTGGGAACAAAAGACACCCAGACACTGCAAAAGACCAACATGCTGAAGGTGATAAATTTGGCTTCGTTAAAGCTGTCAGGTAAATTCCTAGTTAGGAAGGCAACTGTGAAACTGACAGCAGCCAACAACCCCAAAAAGCCTAGGACAGTATAAAACATTGTGGTTGAACCTTCATTACATTCCAGGACAATTTCTCCAGACATGGAATGCATGTCTGAATCTGGAAATGGGGGAGAAATTGCCAACCACACTATACAAATGGTGAACTGAGCCATGAAGACAGATAGGACAATTATACTGGCCATCCTTCTCCCCACCCATTTCCTCATTTTAGAACCTGGCTTGGTGGCCATGAAAGCAAGAATTACTATGGTTGTTTTACCCAAAATACAAGAAAGAGCTAGAGAGAACATGATGCCAAAAGCAGTTTGTCTCATGAGACATTTCATTTGGTCAGGTTGCCCAATGAAGAGCAGAGTACAAAGGAAGGCGAGCAGGAGAGCAATGAGAAGTGTGTAGCTGAGATTCCTGTTGTTGGCTTTGACAATCGGAGTGTCCTGGTGTTTTATGAAGATTCCTAGCACCATAGTTGAAATGACAGAGAAGAAGACTGCAATCATTACCAAGGAAGTACCCAAAGGCTCTTGGAAAGTCAAATAAGTTATAGTTTTTTGAAGGCAATTATCTTGACCCTTGTTTGGATATTGATCCTCTTGACATGGGAAACAATCATCTAAGTCTGGGGAAGAAACAAAACTATTTCACAAAACTTTACTTTTAATCATGAAGAATTTACAACATACTTGATTTATTTAGATCCTATGACTTCATATTATTTTTCCTCAAAATAATTTATAATGAAACACATGAAATAATGCAGTGTTTAATGACAATATCCATTAAGTTATACAGCTACATCAAAATCTGTTGTGATATTTCTACTCTCCAGGTAGAATAGGAAAGTAAATAGGGTTGAAATAGCAGGAAAAAATATTGCATGGATTGAATTTGATGGAAAGTTACCTTGTAGTCAAAAAGCATATACTAAAAAGCCTTCTAGATTGTTTATCGACAAGCATTGTTACCTGCCAAACTTCTACAAGAAATAAGGAGAATAATACAAACCTGAGAAATCTATTTGATGGGGGTAAAAGTTTATTCTCCCGGCTTCTGGGTTAGTTTCCGAATGTTTCATTACCAGGGTAGGTAACAGCTTCAGTGGAGTTTAGGGGATGTCCGCTGAAGATGTTACTCTACTGAAGTTATTACTCAGCCTGGTAACAAAATGTTCAGAAACCAACCCACAGGCTTGGAGAACAAACTTTCACCCTCATCCTACACTCAAGCTACAGATTGTCAATGTTGCTAACATTGGATGTTCTTGCTTGACAATACAGCGGGCCAAAAAAGTATTTAGTCAGCCACCAATTGTGCAAGTTCTCCCACTTAAAAAGGTGAGAGAGTCCTGTAATTGTCATCATAGGTAGACCTCAACTATGAGAGAAAAAATGAGCAAACAAATCCAGACAATCACATTGTCTGATTTGGAAATAATTTATTTGCAAATTATGGTGGAAAATAAGTATGTGGTCACCTACAAACAAGCAAGATTTCTGGCTCTCACAGACCTGTAACTTCTTCTTTAAGAGGCTCCTATGTCCTCCACTCATTACCTGTATTAATGGCACCTGTTTCAACTTGTTATCAGTATAAAAGACACCTGTCCACAACCTCAAACAGTCACACTCCAAACTCCACTATGGCAAAGACCAAAGAGCTGTCGAAGGACACCAGAAACAAAATTGTAGACCTGCACCAGGCTGGGAAGACTGAATCTGCAATAGGCAAGCAGCTTGGTGTGAAGAAATCAACTGGGGGAGCAATAATTAGAAAATGGAAGACATACAAGACCACTGATAATCTCCCTCGATCTAGGGCTCCACACAAGATCTCACCCCGTGGGGTCAAAATGATCACAAGAATGGTGAGCAAAAATCCCAGAACCACACAAGGGGACCTAGGGAATGATCTGCAGAGAGCTGGGAGCATAACAAAGGCAGCCATAATGTGTTACAACAAAAGTAACACACTGCACCACCAGGGACTCAGATCCTGCAGTGCCAGACGTGTCCCCCTGCTTAAGCCAGTACATCATGCTTTGTGGCTATTTCTCTGCAAAGGGACCAGGATGACTGACCTGTGTACAGGAAAGAATGAATGGGGCCATGTATCGTGAGATTTTGAGTGCAAACCTCCTTCCATCAGCAAGGGCATTGAAGATGAAACATGGCTGGGTCTTTCAGCATGACAATGATCCCAAACACACTGCCCAGGCAATGAAGGAGTGGCTCCGTAAGAAGCATTTCAAGGTCCTGGAGTGGACTAGCCAGTCTCCAGATCTCAACCCCATAGAAAACCTTTGGAGGGAGTTGAAAGTCCATGTTGCCCAGTGACAGCCCCAAAACATCACTGCTCTAGAGGAGATCTGCATGGAGGAATGGGCCAACATACCAGCAACAGTGTGTGCCAACCTGGTGAAGACTTACAGAAAATGTTTGACCTCTGTCATTGCCAAAAAAGGATATATAACAAGGTATTGAGATGAACTTTTGATATTGACCACATACTTATTTTCCACCATAATTTGCAAATAAATTCTTTCCAAATCAGACAATGAGATTGTCTGGATTTGTTTGCTCATTTTGTCTCTCATAGTTGAGGTCTACCTATGATGACAATTACAGGCCTCTCTCATCTTTTTACATGGGAGAACTTGCACAATTGGTGGCTGACTAAATACTTTTTTGCCCCACTGTATATGAAGATGCAGAATTTTATATTTAACTTGTGTATCACTTTTAGAGTAAAAATTAGATGGTGCTGGAAGGGAGGGGGGGGAGAATGTGCTTGGGGACTAGTTAGACGGAACAATATTTCAGTAGGTATTTTTCAAAGCTAGTTGTAATAAGTGCTGGGGGTTATGGAACAGGAGGGAAAGTTCACACTTCAAGCCAATTGGAGAATGTGATTAATGACTGTTAAATGAAGGAGTGAGTTATGCTTAGATATTGTATGTTGGGGGAGGAGAATTCCAGATTTTGGCTTCACTATGTATCTGCTGAAGATATGTTGCAAATTAAAAGATTCTTTAAGGTAAACAATGGCTCAAAGTTCTTTGAAGAGCTTCTTCTTTCGGAACCATGACACAGATATTCATCAGTATTGCAAATCTATTGATCCATAAGGAAGATTATGCTTTTTAAAGTGAACTGATTGATTGTATCATTAAATATTTCAAAGTTGCCTTTTCAAAAGGTAACTGGACTTTGTTTTTTCCTTGAAGTCATTTTGTTTCTCATCCAAGAAGCTATTTCAGTTCTGACTGAAGCAGAATTGAAGAAGCTTCTTGGATGTGAAGTGAAATGTTTTCAAGGAAAAACAAAGTCAGTTGCCAATCACCCTTGGGATAAAAAGCACCTTTGGATGACTTAGAATCTCCATAAACATTAAATATGTCACTGAACTTTATATAAGTAGTTCACATTTTCATTGCTCATCTATACAACCTATCAGATAGCTCAAGATTATTAGTCACTATAATATTGATTAAAAATTAAAAACCATTTATATTTATTAAATCATTGATATATTCAATATATTCCTTTGCTTACCCATTTGGTCAGCTATATTCCCTTCTGGACACTGTCTACAGTCATAGCAGCAGGATAATTTCCCTTCCACTTTGACCTTGCTGTGGCCAATAGGACATTTCTCATTACAGATGGAAAGAGGCAATGTCTGTTCATAAATAAAATGAGATTGCTTTCATATGAAGAATTTATGTGTTGGGGGTGTCCATTTCATCAATTATACATAACCAAACTGTTCACATCCTCATCAATCCTTATTGTCGCATTTCATCATTTTCACCAGAATTGCACAGCTAGGCATGTTGAAGTTCACACCTCATAAACTTTCTTAATTTGAGAAACACTGCTTAACTGTTCCTCCCCCTCCCCCGCCCATCTTCTTCAGTGGAAACATGCCCAATTCTGAGAGACTGCCTGCAGAACGTATTGCAGTTTTTATGCAAAGATTTAGAGAAGTGATTTACTTTAGTACTCCTTTCTAGATTGAGGATATGACTAGCTCAGAATCATTCTGTTGGCTTTGTGCCTGAGGGAGGACTAGACCCTCACCTTCTCTTTAATGATTTGTAAATATGATCATTCTGTCACTTAACTGTCACCACAAAATGCTTACTATCTTAATGTAAAGCCTAACCTGTGAATTTACTAAGCTGAACTGGGTATGGTGTAATTTATAAATCAGCTTCCCTCTTAGAAATCTTAGAAGTCCCATCACAAAGCAGTGTTCTGTATCATACTGCCTTCCTCTTTGATTGGTGTATGCTATGATTTTTTTTTTAAAAAAAATATCTACATCCACCCTTTCAATAAAGTTATACACTGCCCAACAGCATATAAATGCTATATACAGTGACTGGGTATTTTTATGCTCAGTATGCAATCACTTGGATTAGCATAACTAATCAGCTGGTTAGGCAAATAAATAGTATCTCCAGCAAAAAGTTTTAACAAAGAGTTTCTGCTCCCCATTTCATCTCTTTCAAGGGAGACAAATATAAATTTAAATCCAAGGAGATTAAATTAAAAAAAAATCCTGGCTATGCCATTTTAAAAATATTTTTACTCTTTTGGAATAAATTGTTTCTTTCCATTAAGCTACACACTTTCTTAGACTGCCATTATTCTACCTAAGTGGTTAAAGATATCCTGACTACTTCAAATGTCTTATTTAATTGTCCTTTATTTGTCTCAGCAAGGGCTCAGAAGTAGAGTTACTACTTTACAAAACCATATAATGGGATTCAAATTTTATATATATATATAAAAGTCAAAGCACTCCACTTTAAGACCTCCTCCAAAGAAGGCACCTGGGCCCCTCGTAGTGGCAGGGCAGACCCACTATGAAGTGAAACATATTCTTGACTCCAGGACCTTTAGAGGGAAATTACAGTACTTATTACAATGGAAGGGATACCTGTTGTCTGAAGCTACCTGGGTGAAATCTAGTGAAGTGAAAGCTGACAGATTGAGCAAAAGTTTTCATGTGAAACACCCCAGCAAACCGAAAGATAACCCTTAACATGTGCTTTTGTTTACTTTACAGGATCTGTCCTTCTTGTAAGAGGGGGTGGATGTCAATGCTGCAAATACTGTATAATCTTGCTTTGACAATATGCAAAACTGTCTGGTATTTACTGGGTTAATACTACTACATAGATTAGAGTAGGGGGGGGGGGTAAAAAGCCCAGGAAAGAAAGAGGAAGTAAACTTTTGACCTTCACACTAATTGGATAATGTGACTTGTGACTGCAAGATAAGGGAGGGGTTTAGCAAGAAAAGTTTGATGCCAGCAAGAGGAAGTCAGATTCTGGCATCAAAACGTCCATGATGGTGACTGGTAATTTGTAGGTCTGTAATAAAGACTTTAGGAAACATGCCTGAAAGTTCTTTGAAGTGCTTCATTAGTCGGAACCTTGACATACTTCCAATCTGATGCGGGAGAAAACCCGAATAACCAAAGACCTATATATATAATTCATTTCTTCCTCAATCCTAAGCAACTACCATAACAGAGATGTGAACTTCAACTGCTAGCATTTCCCAACTGGCATGTTGAAGTTCACACCTCATAAACATGTCGAGTTTGAGAAACACTGCTTAACTTTTCCCTTTTTCCCCCTTTCTTCCACTGAATCATACCCAATTCTAAGAGACTGCCTGGAGAACTTCTTGCAGCCAGAAAAGATTTTGATAAGTGATTTATTATGTCCTCCTTTCTAGAGTGAGAAGATGACTAGCTGAGAAAGGGGCGTTGTCTTACCTGAACGCCTTTTCTCAGCATGATGATGGAGAATCCACGGATGGGTTGTCTTAATCTATCTGCTCCAATTAGACTAAGTCTGAAATTTAGTACCGCCCCCTCTGTGCCAACTGCACCCCAGTTTTAGGCTAAGGCGATACCCAGACTTTAGTCCGACGCGTCTGAACAAATGGGAACCAGGCCAACTGACCTAATGGGAGGGAGTGGATTCTCCATCATCATGCTGAGAAAAGGCGTTCAGGTAAGACAACGCCCCTTTCTCCAGCATGATTGGATGGAGAACCCACGGATGGGACATACCAAAGCCCTGTGTCCCTAGGGTGGGGAATTAGATTGGGCCTGGTTCCCACCCAATGTTAATGCGTGTTCTAGGACCCTGCGGCCAAATGAAGCTGTAGAAGATGCATATATATCCCTCTTGTAGTGCCTGGGATCTCGCAGTGACTGAGACTGGTATGCCAGAGAAATACAAACTCTAATCCACCTGCGTATTGTGGTTGAAGAAACCTTCTGACCTAGTGATGAAGGGTGATAGTACACAAACAGAGCCTCTATTCTGTGGAAAGATGAGGTTCTCTGTATATAACAATATAAGCCCTGCGCACATCCGATTTGTTCCACTGAACCTCTATCTCATTAGATGGGTTAGGACAGAAGTCCGGCAAAACTATTTACTGAGATTTAGGATACAAGGACTTGACCTTAGGCACGGAGGGGCCTAGCCTAAGGGTTACCCTGTCCTTATGGAATGTACACAGGTCCTTCCTCACTGAAGAGTAGCCAGTTCAGATATCCTTCTCGCTGAAGTTACAGCAACAAGAAATGCCACCTTCATCGATAACTGTTTAAACAAACCAGTGTCAATAGTTCAAAGGGTGCGAAACAAGAACCTATAAACCTGATGAAGATCCCACGAGGGGTATCTATGTACAGTTGATGGTCTGACGTTGTTAGCTCCTTTTAGGAAGGAGCGTATCATAGGGTAATGTGTTAAGGATTCATTGCCACAGGAAATAACTGTGGCAAGTGATGCTACCTGCCTGCGGATGGTGCTTGTGGAAAGCCCTTTGTCTAGACCATCCCTCAGGAACTCCAAGATAACTGGCATTGAAACCGCCAAAAGGTCAATTTTTCGAACTGAACACCAATTACAGGAGTCTCTCCATGTGGCATTGTATATTCTATTCGTCGAGGGTCACCTAGATTGCTGAATCATAGCTATGACCCTTGACGAATATGAGTCTCAGCCTAAGGCCTGCCTCTCAAGTGCCAGACGGTTAACTGGAGTCATTGAGGGTCTGGATGGCGTAGTTCCCCCTGAATGTGGGAGATGTGATTTGCTGGGATCCTCCATGGAGGTGATACGGAGAGCTCCATCAGGTCGGCGACCAAGAGCGTCTCGGCCAATGCGGCGCAACCAGGAGGACCTCTGCTCGTTCGCGAAGGATCTTCCTGATCGTGGCAGGAAGAAACGGCAGAGGAGGGAAGGCACAGAGCAGTTCCCTGGGCCAGGGACTGCGGAGTGCATCTGTTCCCTCTGCTGATGGAGGTGGGAACCCAGAAAGGAATCTGGGAAGTTGTGAGTTGGTGGGGGAGGCAAAAGGTCTAAGGTTGGGGAACCAAACCTGTCCACGATCTCTCTGAACACCTTCGGATCCAGCTGCCATTCAGAATGATCCACGGTTGCTCTGCTCAGTGAGTCCGCCTGCTGGTTGGTCACTCCGGATATGTACTCCGCCCTGATGGAGGGAAGATTCAGTTCCGCCCAGGACCCCAGCAATTTGGCCTCCTGCATGAGAGGCCTGGACCTTGTCCCCCCTTGTCTGTTGACATGGGCCTTGGCTGTAATGTTGTCGGTTAAAATCAGGACATGTTGGCCCTGTACTATATCGGTGAATCTCTTTAGGGCCATATGTATGGCTCTGAGTTCCAGCCAGTTTATATTGTTCCTTAGGTCCTGTTTGGACCACCGACCTTGAGCCCAGTGCGTGTGAAGGTGTGCCCCCACCCAAACAGGCTTGCATCTGTGGTAATGGTAATCCTGTCTGGTTCTAATACTGCTCCCCGTGACAGCGCCGGGGAGTCCCACCATTGAAGGGAGTTCAAGTCTCTGAAATGGAAGGAGAAGCCATGTAATTCTCTGGCATGGAGGTATGCCCATGGCACAATTTGCACGCAGGACACCGTCTTCCCCAGTAGCTGTGATACGGAGGCCAATGTGATTACTCTGGCCCTTAGGATCCGACATACAAGAGTCTGAATAGAGTTCCTTCGGTCCTGAGATAGGTAGACCGTACAATTGTCCGTGTCTATAACAGCGCCCAAATGGAGGAGCTGGGTTGTTGTATGACTTTTCTGGAAATTAACAGAAAACCCGTGCTCCTGAAAGACCTTGATGGCTAGGGCGAGGTCTGACTGAGCGTTTCGGAATGATGATGACTGAATTAGTATGTCATCTAAATAGCATTGAATTCTGATTGGAATTTGTCTAAGGTGGGCTGCGAGCACTGCCAGTACCTTGTAAATACCTTCGGTGTCGATGAGAGGCCAAATGGTAGGGCTCTGTACTGGTAATGGGCATAGCTGAATCTGAGGAATTTGCGGTGGTTAGGAAACATGTCTCAGTTAGGTCTATTGAGGTAAGAAAGTCACCTTGCCTGATGCTGGCCAGGATTGATTGAAGTGGTTGCATCTTAAACTTCTTATACCTCAAGTAAGATTTAGACCTTTCAAGTCTAAGATTGCCCTCCAGCCCCCCAAGTCTTAGGGATGACGATGAGGTTTGAGTAAAACCTTCGTCCTTCTTGGTCTTGTGTACTGGTTCAATTGCTCGTATTTGTAATAAATGAGCTATGGCATCTGACATAAAGTCAGCCCTGGACCTGCTCGTTGGGATAGGGCAAGAGCGGAATTGTCAGGTGGTTGAGAACAATTTCTAGTCTCAAACCCTGTTGACAGTGTCTAACACCCATGCATCTGTAGTGATGGCTGTCCAAGTGCTGGAATAAGGGACCAGCCGGCATCTGTAGTGGTGACTGCCCAAGTGCTGGAATAAGGGGCCAGCTGGCTTCCTATGGGAAGTGAGACTGTGAGGTCACTTGCCTCGTTCAGAGGAACGGCCCCTCGGTCTTGAAGGGGCCGCTTGGCCTGGATCTGTGGTCTGCTTCTGCATGCTGAACGATCCTGCTGTCGTTCTTGTCTCTGAAAGGAATAGAGGGATGCCTGGGCCCAGTCCCAGGATGGAGCTGGTCGAAAGGCAGCCTCCTGTAACTGCTCTGTGACATGAGTTAACCAGAGTTTTACGTTTGTCCTTACCTTCAGTTAAGTATGGTCCTAGTGCCTTACCACAGAGATGTCCACCTGTGTAAGGTTTAGAGGCCAGACGCCACTTGGTCTTGGTGTCTGCTCGCCAATTCCTGGGCCAAAGGAACCTTCGTGCTGAGATGTCTGCAGCGATGGTCTGGCAGTGTATCTAGCCATGTGCAGAGAAGCGTCGGCTAGGTACTGGGATGTAGCCACTAACTTACCCAGATTTTGGTGAGCTCTGAGCTGGTCTGGAGGGATCCTGTCCTGGAGCTCACGTAACCCAAGGGCTGAAGCCCTAGCGAAGAAGGCCATGGACGTTGCTGCCCTTGTTGCCCAGGCTGATGCCAGATGGGAACTACGCAATGCGGAGTCAATCTTTTTATCCTCCGCCCTAAGTGCCTCATTTATGTCCCCAGGGATGTTAACATTGGGAGACAATGAGTTCAAGGCTCATCAATCTCAGGAATCTCCAATAGGGAGGCCAGGGAACGGGCAACATTGAATAATGTTCTCTCTACTGCACCGGGGCTTAAGAAGGATCCTAAGTTCTCCCATTGTTCTTGAACTATATTCAGAAAAAGGGGAGGGCAGGGAATATTGTTCTGCGAGACTGAGGGCTTGGTGTATATGGCGTGGGGACCCCTGGAGGTGGGGTCTCCTGTTCTTGGGGGAGGTTTGCACTAGTGTAGGCCCTGAGTAGCAGGGAATTAAAGAATGAATGGTCAAAGAGACCGACAGGAGGGGTGGGGTCAGAGGGAGTGATGCCCTCGTCCTCAAACAAAATCAGGCCAGATTGTTCAGCCCCTGTAGATTCCAAATCCGATGAGGGATCCTCCATCAAATCTGGAGATTGTGGATGATACGTGGCCTGGGGGGGGTGTCTGTGGTGTTGGAGGCCATAAATTGAGCCACAGCCTGGGCTATCATGGACTGGAGGAGGTTTGGGTTCAGGGCCTGGTTCTCAGGAGGGCGAAGTCCTGCTGCAGTGGGAGTGAATGTGGCCTGGGGCCCTGAGGTGTCCTGACCGGTTATACCCCTCCCTGAAGCCACTGTTAGGTTTGAATCTGACTCAGGAATTCCCCTGGGGGGAGACCAGGCCCCTGGGGCTGAGGCACTGTACGAAGAAAGGGGCTCCAAAATAGACCTTCCCATCGTGTCTGTCAGATCTGGGGAGGCCGCTCTCAGTCTTTGGCACCCTTCCTCCCTCTGTGGCTCCCTGCTTGGCCGGGCTCGCTTGGTGGTGCTCTTACCACTTGCCTCTGATTGGCGACTCCTCTCTCTCGACGATCCTGCCACCGATGATGTAATACTGCCTTCAGAAGAAAGTTCCAGGCAGTCTGGCCTCAGCCACACACAAAATGGCCACCAATGACTTCAGGCACACTCAAAATGGCCGCCGAGGCTTCAGCCCCACACAAAATGGCCGCCGGTGACTTCAGCCACCCACAAAATGGCCGCCAGTGACTTCAGTCACACTCAAAATGGCCACCGAGGCTTCAGCCCCACACAAAATGGCCGCCGGCAACTTCAGCCACCCACAAAATGGCCGCCAGTGACTTCCGCCACTCACAAAATGGCCGCCGAGGGCCTCACCCACATACAAAATGGCCGCCGGGGGCTTCAGCCACACCCAAAATGGCTGCTGGGAGGCAATTCAAAATGGCGGCCGCCAATTTCGCGCCCTAAAAAACGGCCGTTGGAAGAAGGCCTTGAGGCCTAGGGTCTAAGCTGCAACGAGCCCTCGTTCAGGTGAATCGCCTGGGCTCCTAAAGCAGCTGGTGGCATGTGATTAGGCCGGCTGGAAAAGCTGTCGTCCAAGGCCTGACAGGCCCTCCCGGCTCCGAAAATTGGGCCGCGCCCAAATTCTCACCTGCTGCTCTCTGCTGGGGCTGAGGGACCTGGGAAGGCTCCCTCCAGGCTTGATGAGGCTCTGAAAACGACCTAAATCAAAGGTTTGATCTTGCTGTCCCTAACTGAGGAAAACAAAGAAGGGAAAAGTTTTCCCCCCCCCCCAGAGGGAGAGGATTGTGAGTCTGTCAGCCTGAATAGGCTTCAGACTGGGATAATTGATCTTTCTTCTAGATATAATCGATTCTGAATCAATAATAAAATAACAAATAATAATAATAGCCTGAGCTAAGTAATTAAATAGAATTAAACAGTCTTCTGCTCCAGGAGCGAAGACAAAACGCGTCTTGGGGCAAAGAGACTAAGTCTAAAACTGGGGTGCAGTTGGCACAGAGGGGGCGGTACTAAATTTCAGACTTAGTCTAATTGGATCAGATAGATTAAGACAACCCATCCGTGGGTTCTCCATCCAATCATGCTGGAGAATCATTCATTTGCCTTCGTGCCTGAGGGAGGGAGGACTTGAACCTCACATTCTCTTTAATAATTTGTAAAGAATATGATCATTCCCTTGCTTAACTGTTCCACAAGATGCTTATTGACCTAATGCAAACCCTAATCCTAAATCTGTGAATTTATTAAGATGAACTTGGCATGGTGTAACTTATAAAACATGTTTCCTCTTAGAAATCTTAGAAGTTCCATCACAAAGCAGTGTTTTGTGTCATACTGCTTTCCTCTTATATATCTTTGCATTCTATTTTATCATATCCCAATTTATTTTAGCTTTTTTATCTTAGCTTGTCTCATTTCATTGCATTGAACTTAATCAGTAAAGATTACTACTACCAGGACTACTGGGATAATTTGAACTGCAACTAAATAAATATAGGTATTTAAACTTTAAGTCACCTATTTCCACTATAGTAATTTATGTTCATACACTATCACAGGGGTGTCAAACTGCCACCTGCGGGCCAGATGCGTCTTCCGGAAACCATGCCCATGCCATTGCCAGCGATGTTGAAAAAGCTCCGATATGTTGCACGATATCATGTGACATCACAAGTTTGAAATGTCTGCAGTATCACATAAAAAAATGGAAGCTGCTAAATCCAAGTGTGGTTGTTGTGGTGATAGTGGTGGTTTAATAACTTACTTCTGTGAATCATTGGCCAAATTATTTCCTAAAAAGTGAAAAATGAGACACACCTGGTTAAATACAAGAGGCCAAACAGCATCCTTGGCAGAAATGGTGAGGAGCTTGTCTGGGGGAGCCATGGGGTCAATCCTTCCAATCTGGACTCTTAGAAAAGACTTGTTTGGGAATGTAACCCAGTTGAAAATATCAAATCCAGTTTCTAATTCCCCACTGAGGCCAAAGGAAATCTGTTCTCCAGAAGTGTTGTTGAAGGAAACTTGCTGCAAAAAATAATGAAGCTGAATGAAGAAACAAAGAAATATAACTATTAACTGGGTTCCTTAATTCATATGGACAAAA